ATACCCTGCAGAGGTCACTTCCCTCCTGCTTGGGTCTCCACTGTGGAGAAAGACTGTAGTTTTCCTAGGTAGGTGGGGGGATGGAAAACTGGGCAGAGGGGCAGAAAGTGGTAGGTTGCCACCTCCAGATTGGGAAATGTGTGGAGATTTGAGGGATGGAGAGAGTGGGGTTTGTGGAGGGGTGGGACCTCAAGACAGGTACATCACTGTAGACTCCACCCTCCAAACCATCCATTTCCTCCTGGGAAACCATTGTTACCAATCTCCAGGTGAGGGCAGGAGGTCACTCATAGTTCCCCTGGAGAAAATGGTGGGCTCTGTGTCATTATACTCTGCTGAGGTGCCCCCTCCAAGACAGCCAGTGTGATGTAGCAGTTAGCGCTTCAGAGCATGGTCTTCCAGACCCATGTTCTTCCTGTGAAAGCTGATTGGCTGATTTCAGACCAATCACATTCAGCCTAACTTACCACACAGGGTTGTTGTGCAAATTGAAAGGGGGAGAGGAGGATGTGAGCTGCTTTGGTCCCCACTGTGAAGAAAGACTGTACTTTTCCTAAGTAGAGGCAATAGGTAGGGGGGAAGAGATGGAAACCTGAAGCCAGAGCGGCAGATAAAGGTAGGTTGATGGTTGGCTGGGAAGGAGATAGGCCAACTCTAGGTTGGGAAATTCCTGGGGATTTGGGGGGTGGAACATGGAGACAGTGGGGTTGGAGGAGGGGTGGGTCCTTAGACAGGTACAATGCCATAGACTCTAACCTCCAAACCAGCCATTTCCTCCTGGGGAACCATTGTCGCCAATCTCCAAAGGAGGGCTGGAGATCACTCAGAATTACAACTGCTCTTCAGATGGCAGAGGCCAGTTCCCCTAAGGAAAACGGTAAGCTCTGTGTCGTTATACCCTGCTGAGGTCGCCACAGTGGTGTGACACTGAGTGCCCAAGGCAAGGGCACCTGCCCAGAGCCTCTTTCTAGAGCTTGTTGTATTTATTTCCACAACGGGCCTTATTCCTAGTACCTTGAATAAAACTTTCTTTGTCTCAAAGGTACCACTGGACTCAAACTTAATTCATCTACCTGTTCCTGGAAATTTAAAGGCCAGCAAGTGACAAAATAAGAACATCAGAGAAGCCAGTGTTGGATCAGGCCAGTGGCCCATCCAGTCCCACACTCTGTCACACAGTGGCCAGAAATACCATGTGCCATCAGGAGGCCCAGCAGTGGGGCCAGGAGGACACCAGAAGCCCCTCCCACTGTTGACCCCCCCCCCAAGCACCACGAAACCAGGGAATCACTTGCCCC